TTTTTCTAGTTCCCTGTCTAGAACTTGTAATGCTAATTACTCTTGACTTTACTTCTCCTTCACATCTCCTATTCACAGTTCAAGGACTTTCTTTTCCTCTTAGAGATAAGAGTTGTGCAATTTGGGAGCCTTTTAGATACACCCCCTGAAGGGGTACTCCAATTGCCTTACCCTGCATCCCTGTTCAGCATGGAAGAAGCCAGAGTCATCTGAGTCCCTGGCTTGTTAGCAACATACTCTGTTCCAAGGCCAAAAATGTCACAAGTCTTTGGGAGCTTGTATCTAATCCTTAAAAGATTTTAGGGTTACCTCTTCAGAGGGGAGAATGTTAGAGTAGCCAAAAAGCCCCCATAAAAAGAAATAAATCAATCGAAGAAGAGTACATGAAGTTATCAGAAAAAAGTGATAGGGAGATAGGGGAGGAGTTGGAGGGGAGGGAGTGGGCATGGATTTGATCAAAACACCTTATATTCATGTATTAACTTCTCAATAAATTATTTAAAAATTCACAAGTACAGGTCAATATAAATATATCAAGTGACTCTTTCTGTATGCCCCTTCTATAAATGCCTCAAATGTAATCTCATGCTCTAAGTTTATATGTAATTGTTGCTTCAGTGTTTCCTGCTATAACTTACCTATCTTTAAAAAATGACTATTGATTCCAAGTTTGTTCTATTTTATGTGTATGAGTATATTGCCTACATGTATGTGAGTGTACCCATGTCGTGCAGTGCCATGGAGTTCAGAAGAGGGCTTCAGATTCCCCTGGAATTGGAGTTAAGGACAGTTGCCACGTGGGTGCAGTGCCATGGAGTTCAGAAGAGGGCTTCAGATTCCCCTGGAATTGGAGTTAAGGACAGTTCATAGCTGCCATGTGGATGCTGGGAATTGAACCCAGGTCCTCTGCAAGAGCAGCCAGTGCTCTAAACCATTGAGTCATCTCTCCAACCTTATTCACTTCTTAATTGCATAATACTACCACATCATTTTAGTTCTATAAGTTTCAATGTTTCCGTCTGAGAAGAAATGGGAATAAAATGTGTTTCTGATTATCTCAAAAAAAAATTTTTTTTAAAAAGGAATCAGAACGATTGAGTTCTGTGGAAGCAAGACTATGTTCCAATTAACATGTCTAAGTTAGGGGAGGGAGAGCCTAGCAAGGAGAAAGGATAGGAGCTCAGGAGTGCCTCCTGATGGGGTGATGGGATCCCTAAGACCTTCAGAGTCTGCAGAGCCTCAGAGAAAAGACAGTCCAATACCCCCACTTCACTAGAACACCATCAATCAACTGTCTCCACAAATGCACTTCATCCTGCCTCAGTTCCTTGAACTCTAAATCTAAGAATGAGCCATTACTCAGAGATAAGGCAAAAACAGTGGTAGAAATAAGCTCCCTGATACCTGTTTCTTTTCTGGATAAAGACCAATCCCTTCTTCATACATAACTTGGACTCATAGAGAAAAATTAAAAATGGGGATGGAGGCATGTTACAGCAAAGTCTTCGGCGATCACCTGTTTACCTCTGTAAGCCTCTGTCTTCTTGGCCTCTTCCCATATGAGAAGCAGATGCCCTTCACCTTGAACCAGAAAATGTGGCCAAGCAGATTCTGTGCCACTTTCCAGGAGAAAGCAGCAGTCAGAGAAGTGCAGTGTGGCTTTCCAAACACTAGGATTGCTAGGATATTTCAGCAGTTTATGGGAACAGAGGGATAACACAGTTAAAATCAGAGCTGGCTTAGGCAAACCTGCCATATGGCCCTGATCCCTGCCCAGCCAGACAATTAGGTCAAAAGTTCAGCTGGTTTAGAAAAATTAATGAGTCAAACTGGGTGTTTAGCATCATGCAGAGATCAGCCAAATCCCAATTTAGGAACAAGGAAAAATAACAGAATAGCACTACAGTCTGGCTTCTGAAGCATTCTGGAATTCAAAAACACTCTGTGGTAAGAAGCACACACTTACTAGAGGGGTGGGGTGTTGGCTTTATTCTCTGAGCCAACAATGGTCCAGCAAACCCTCCAATATCTGGGAAAGGGCAACACAGTGTAAGTACGGTTTGTACAACTGGGCAATGGGTCTATGCCTGAAGTAGCCGCAGGGGAGAACCAAGCCAGGCAGAAGAGAAAGATGCTTGTCCTCCCACCATCTGGGGGGTATTGCTGGTTTGAATGAATTCCCAGAATATCACACTTAACACATTCCGCATTAAGTGGCATCACAAAGCACACTCCAGAGGTGCATGTGAATTATGTGGATTAACTACACCAATACTCCTCTTCATTAGTGTGTGTACCAAAGGTTGGCAGCACAGTTGGGAAAAGGTGTCCTTTTAAGTAGGTGGTGGTATTTTTAATGACTCCCCTTACACCCAAGGGGAAAGATCAAAAGAGACCTGCAGCTACTGAACAACAGATCCTTTAACATTCTTAAATCGGCAACTGCGTTCATTTTCTTCATCAGGTTTTGAAATTTATTTTCTAAATATAATCTCTGATGGGTAGAAAAAAATATGAATATTTTGGACCACATAATTACATCTTAATTTTGTAATTAGATGTCTTGATTGTCTAATTAAAGGACAAGAAGTCTGTGCCTAATTACACATGCTAATCATTATGCAAGTCCATGCCCTAATTATGTAACTGCACTTACGAGAACACTGCCCATGTGCCTCTGCACAAAATTCAGACATTTTCAAACATATGGTACCAGCAGAGAATGTCCTGGGCACAATCACAAACTTGACTTGCAGCCTGGACTCAGGTGTTGGACAAAGTGGCCTTCAGCTGGGAAATGACCAGGTATGACCATCAGCAATTAGAGTCCCTGAGCCTAGATCTGCTGCAGGGGACAGGGGAGGATCATCATTACTATCATAGGGGTCAAAATTGCAAAGGAGGTACTATTTGAGGCCATCCCTCTTCCCTTTCTGTATCCTGTTTCATGGGCTCTGGTCTCAGGCGCTACAGGCTGTTCTAAATGTCTCATCAGGCTCCCAAACCCAA